TATATATATATATATATATATATAGAGAGAGAGAGAGAGAGAGATTAATATGTATCCTCGTCATAGGAGGAGATTTCCCTCATTATCGTCTATGTGGCACAATCCCCACCATCCTCATAAAGTAGACACGTACAAATCCCCACTAACTCACACATTCTCTCATACTTTATGATGATGGTGAGGATTGTGTCACATAGGCATCAAGTAAGAAATCCCCTTCTATGACAATGATACTAATTAATCTCATATATATACTTTATTAGATGGTGATAATGTTATGAGAGTACAATTTGTTTTGTTTGAAATGAGATTAGGTGGTTATGGGACACTGGAGGAGCTGCTTGAAGTCATCACTTGGGCTCAGCTTGGGATCCATGATAAGCCGGTTAAATATAAATAAAGATAATGGTCATTTCCTTTTATTTAAAAATTTAGCAGGATTAATTTTATTATGAATACATTCAAGCAGGTAGGTTTGTTGAATGTTGATGGATACTACAATTCGCTGCTATGTTTCATCGACAAGGCTGTAGATGAGGGATTTATTTCGCCAGCTGCTCGTCACATTATAGTTTCTGCCCAAAATGCACATGAATTATTGTCCAAACTCGAGGTCTGTTTTGGATTCTCTCTAGATTCTTTTAAGATTTTCCCCCTCTACTAAATACATGTTTGTGGATTCTAATTAAACCATCTTAGTTGAAAATAATCAGTTTAAATCCTGATTCTAGTTCGACAAATAACTAGAACATGAGTTAAACTGGTTTTATTAAGCCAATTTGGCCTATAATCAGGTCAAAATTGCTCCAGCTCCCACTTTCTAGAGCTAAACCAGTTTAACAAACTTGTTCATCTCCACCTTGCTAATGTGACCCTAATAAAGCTTTGTTTGGTAACCCAACGACAATAAGGCCAGACTTGAGTTATTTTTTAACCAGGCCATACTTAATATTCCATCCCCATTTGCCGATTTTGGCATGGTTTTGAAGCTAAAAATGAACTAAAAAAAATTGGGCTAGAATTGACCTAGCTTTTCCAAAAAAAAAAAAAAGATTTAAACGTGACTTAGTTTTAGTGGGTTGCCAAACAAACACCGAGATTAAACTAAGAGGAACTATGAAAATACAACTCCAAGGATCTTCACATATCTAATGATTAACTGTTCACTAGCATCTGAAAGCAAATACTACCAATTAGGTAATATTTTTGCTAATCAACATGATGATGTACGTAATGCAGGAATATGAGCCAAGGCATGATCAAGCTGCAACTAAGCTCAGCTGGGAGATGGAGCCATTTGGGCACACACCCTTAGCAGAAATTGCCCGTTAACCAAGACTTTGAAGACGTCGACATGCATATATACAAGACTCACTTTGACCAAACCCTGAAGTGTAGTAATCCCACTTTGACCAAACTTCAAGTGTAGTAATCCTTGTTCAATCTCTTTTGTACTTGCCTTTTAGTTAGCAAGTTTGATGTGGTTAATGCCATTGATTAGATATATACACACCATT